TAAAGTAATTCTGCTCTAGGCTATCATTTAGTGAATAATTTGCATCCTGGAAATGTGGGGGTTAGTAGGTGTTTTCCGGTGTTGCCTTGCCAGGTTAACATTTATTTTTATTTTTCTTAGAAGAACCAGCTTACCAATGGAGTTGGTGGTAAAGATAGTGTGGCTTTTGCATTTTTAGGAATGTCAAAAAGAACATCTGTCCCTAAACTTCCCTTCAACCAAGCCATATTTCCCCCTGGTGACAGACTAAGTCCTAGAAGTAGATTATTAGGGTTACTTGGTTCTGGTTTGATACTGAAAGAGAAGAAGCAACAAGACAGACAGCCTCAGTTTCCTCATATATAAAATGAGGAAAATAATAGCTTTTTTGTTGAGCTGGTGTAAGGATTAAATAGGACAATATATGCAAATTTCTTAGCACATTGCCTAAGTGATTTAAAAATGCTAATTTTTACCACGGAGAAAGGAAATCTGCCCAAACCTGTTACCACTGCTGCATCAGTGACTAGAGAGCTTTGTGTCCTCTCCCCTTGTGATTAGGAGAGGCAAGAAGAAGGCGTGTAGAACTTGGAGGCCAGCCTGCTGTTTGTACTTCTTTCTTCATAGACTCATGTCAGCTTTTAAGCACTGACAGGATAGTATATGTGTTTGTGCTTAATAGTTCTTTGCCAAATTTTTAATGAAAGGTTGTCTCAAATCTATTAAAAGTGAAATGAATAAAAAAAATAGTTATTTATTTCTGTTCTTCTATAGATTGTAAGTCGTTTACATTGGCTTGAAGGAAATGAAATGTATCTTCCTTAGATTCGTTAAAAAGAATTGATGATTTTCTGTTTTCTAGAGAGAAATTTCATCATCTCTGCAATCTTCTTGAAGCAAACTAAGACCAGGGGGAGAGTTATTATTGACCTTTGAAGACTAAAACTGCACTGAAATTTAAAATGGTCTTCAGGGAAGAGCAGAGCTTGACCTACATTTTTGTAATCATTTGTTTCCTGACACTAAGGCTGTCCACCAGTCAAAATTGTCCGACTGAGAGTCTAGAAGATGTTGTTATTGACATCCAGTCATCTCTTTCCAAGGGAATCAGAGGCAATGAGCCCATATACACATTAACTCAAGAAGACTGCATTAATTCTTGCTGTTCAACAAAAAACATATCAGGTAAATAATACTCCCTTAACACCCCTTTAGTCTATGTGTTTTGTGACATAAGTAGTTGGTTCTCAATGGGATACAATGGTAAGCGACAAAATCACTGGGGGAACATTTTCCAAGAGTACCCTCCTCTTCCCTAAGCTGAGTCAAAGTTAATGATGAGTGTATGTCTATATCACTCAGGTGTTTGGGTAGAAAAAAGGTTGAGTACTGCCAGTGTTATATTCTAACAGGCGCCTAGGATAGTGAAAACAAAAATCCTGTTTTAATGCTTAGCTATCACCACGATGGAACACTGCAATACAGTGCGATATTATACAGAACATTTAAACAGAGAAGGGGAGTTGAGACGAAAATTCTTAACTCATCCTATAAGAAAATCAGCATTTTTTTTTCTCTTTTGGGTTGAGTAAAAATGGATATGTACTTCTAAGGAATTGATTTTTTGATTTTAGGTGGAAGCACAAAACCTCCATTTTGGCTCCCTTCCCTGGAGCTGGTGGCCTTAGGTGAATCAAGAAGCCGCTGGCCACTAATTGCAGCTTCTAGGACCCTAAGGGGCACGGGAGGCCATTTTGTCTGACCCATTTATGGGACAGAAGGAAACTGAGGCTCACAGTTTTAAACCACACCTTTGTATCTTTCATGCTCCAAAGCTATGACCTGAAAAGAGAAGTATATATCTTGGTGAAACAGTGGTTGTTTTTCAGTTGATTATGCCCCACTTCATGGTGGAGATAAAACAGTGAATAAAATGGACAAGGCTTTGCCATCAGAGCCTAGAAAGGCTAGTGAATGCTGGACTAGTGATTCTTACTTGGCATATTAGCCAACAGAATCATGTTTTCTCTTAGATCTTTACTTCCTTTTCTTTCTATAATGGTTTTATATAAGAAGGAAGGAAGGAAAAAACATATATAGGTAGAGATAGGTAGATATACATATACATATATATACATAAATATCTATATATTTAGACATGTAGATATATATATTTGGTCTTCGTCCCTGGTTCTTGGCACAGAGCTCTTAAAAGCCTTGGAATTTCCTGAACATAGGAGCTTCTTTTGTTATTCATAATGAGCCCCTTTCAATGACCCCTGAGTTTATGCTAATGAGAAGACTCTTGGTTGGGCCCTAGATAGCTTCAGGGTGGGTGCTGATCACCAGAAAAACCAAACCTTGATTAGAAGCTTTGAATTTTCAGCCTCACCTCACCCCCTACCTCTGGGTAGAAGAGAGGAGCTGGAGATTGAATTCTGTCCCCAGTGGCCAATGATTTGATCAATTATGTCTATGTTGAAACCTTCACAAAAAAAACCAAAACCCTAAACAGTGGGTTCTGGGAGCTTACAGTTGGTGAACACATCCAGAAGTTGGTGTACCCCAGCTCCACAGGGACAGAGGCCCCTGCTCCTGGGACCCCTTCCAGACCTCACCCTATATATCTCTTCATCTGGCTGTTCATTTGTATTCTTTATAATAAACTGTAACACTAAGTATAGCATTTTCCTGAGTTCTGTGGGTAGTTCTAGCAGTTACTGCATCTGGCATGAGGAGTTGTGGGAACCTGAATTTGTGGCCAACTTGGCAGAAGTGTGAGTAACCTGGAGACCTGATACTTGAGACTGGCATCTAAAGTGATGGCATCTAAACTTTATGGGCTAAACCTTTAAACCTGTATGTAGTTGGCGTCAGAATTGAGTTGAACTGTAGGACACTCTTGTTGTTGGAGAGTGAGAATTGGAAAATTAGTGTGGAAAAGACAGGACATATTTGCCCTCAGGAGGAAAAAAAAACCCTTCAGTGGTCTTCTTAATTTGAGCAGTGTGCTTTTAGACACTCTTTATAGGAGTGATTTATGGAAATTACAGAGATTTCATTTAAATTTCTCGTTTTTCTTTAAATGTTGATCGCAACATTTATGTGAAATAGAAACTCCACTGCAAACAGGACCAAATGCGGGTGGGTATTTCTTGGCAACGTAGGAAACCTTGTATTTCTCTCCAGTTCCATGATGGGCTTTTAATAAGAAGTGAGGGTTTGCTGCTTTATTCTACAAATAGAAGTATTGTTTCTGCTTTACTGTAAGAGGTAATCGTGGGACTTAATGGATGTCACACTTTGCCTTCCTTTATTGAGATGGTTCTAACTGTTTATGGTTCAAAAAGCACTTTGATAATTTAATTTGCTTATAACTCTAGAAAAATACCCATAAGTACAAAGAACACAAAATTCTGCATGCAATCTTGAGGGCTTATGGACCCTTGCCTTTACCTAAGTGCCCTCCAAAAAATAGTATTGTAGAATTACCACAGTGCAGAGAAAGGAAAAGCTAGAAAGGTACCTTTCTTGTTAATTGGGTAGTGGAGAGATGACATAATAAAATCCCTGCAGAAGCTAACTAAGTCCTATCAAGGCTGATCCCTGACCATTGTCTGATATGAAGAAGTGGCAGTAATAGTTGGCAGACCATGTTTTTTTTTTTCCAGCCTTACTGAGATGCGTTTGGCACATAACAGTGTGTAGGTTTAAGATATATAACATGAAGCTTTGATATATGTATATATTGCAAATTAATAACCACAATAAAGTTAGTTAACACATAGTCAGTGTGTGTATGTGTGTGTGTAAAGAACATGCGAAGGGATTTTTTTAAAATTAAATTTATTGGGGTAGCATTGGTTAGTAATATTGTATAAATCGTACATTTTAATACGACGCCTGTATACTCTATTGTTTGCTCACCACCCAAAGTCTAAACTCCTCCATCACCATCTATTTGACCTTCTTTACCCTCTTTGCCCTTGCCCCTTTCCCCTCTGGTAACCACCATTCCATTTTTTGTATCTGTGAGTTTTGGGGGGGGGGTTATTTTTGTTGTTGTTCATTTGTTGCTTTTTGTTTTATATCCCACATAGGAGTGATACCATATGGTCTTATCCTTTTCCATCTGACTTATTTCACTTAACATAACATTCTCAAGATCCATCCATGCTGTCAAGAACATGGGTTTTTAACAATTAGCCTATATGGCTCTTAAGCTTCAACTTGACCCAGGGTATACTGATCCTTCAAGGGTCACAGGCCAAGATGAGAGATTGCACCAGATTGAGGCCAAAACCAGATCTAGGCCATAATGATTAGAGAGAATAATTTTTATTGGACAAGAGGAAGAGAAAGAAAAGCCAGAAATGAAATTAAGAGTGAAAAGTGAGGAAGGGAGGAAAATAGAAAAGCAAAAATGATAAGGAAGAGAGGAAATGTGAGAAAATAACCAAAAGAAGAATAGTACTGATCAAAACAAAAAATAAACTTTGCATTCCATACACTATTCAGATTCTTTCTGGAAAGAGGTGTATGTGAATGATGCTGAATTTACTGACTCCACCCAAGAAAGCCAGGCTCATGGCTTCATAGGTGTCTGAGATGCCTTCAGGATGCAAGAGATACATGAAATTATTAGGGTTAGCTCTATTTCTTAAGGCTCAACTCAACTATGAGTTGCATAAAGATTTTAAAGACAGTATTTCTATGTATATCCTGGTTCATGGTTTAGCAAATGGAAGTCTTATTTCTAAAGAATGCAATGTATTATTAAAAATTGGTTTTGCCAAAATTACCTTAATTCAGATTTTTAAACCCAATGTCTTTAAACATTGCTTCAAGCGACTAAACTAAGGAAAAGGAAATGATTCGGCAGTCAGCAAGAAAGTGAACGAAGTGAACAAAAGTGTTTGTATTGGACACCAGAATAAATGAAGTTTTTCCTGCTTGCCTTACTCTTTAGAAAATCCTATTTCAAAATAATGCTTATGAAACTTTCATTGCAGGGGACAAAGCATGTAACTTGATGATCTTCGACACTCGAAAAACAACTAGACAGCCCAACTGCTACCTGTTTTTCTGTCCCAGTGAGGAAGCCTGTCCACTGAAACCAGCAAAGGGACTTATGAGTTACAGGATAATTAGAGGTAATAACAACATTGTTCTTTTTCTTTCGTGAATGAATTATTTAAGGATGTGGTTCAGGTGAAAGCTTTTCTGCAAAAGAGCCTAAGTAAAACTGCCAAAATATAGAGGCATACCAGAAAAATCTCATGATTTAAAATTAAACTTATTGAACCAAACACCTTTTTTTTCCGGTGAAAGACCTCTGAACAACAGTAGTTTATTTTGTTTAGTTTAGTTTTGTTTTTTTACATTCATAAGATAAAAAATTTACAGACTTTTCATGAAACATTTTGAAGCAATTTTTTAGAACAACGTCAGCAATGCCACAGTAAGTGTACAGGTCTTCTGATTTGAAAGGATTAAGGCCTATGTGAATTTAAAAAATGTTCGTATGTTCATCATTAGGTTAGAATTATTTTTAATCGCATTATCTGAAATCTCAACTCAGTGGATTTTATTGTCTAGACCTGGAGAGAAATTCATTAAAAAATATTAATTGAGCACCTACCATGTGCCAAATTCTGTGCAAGGCATTGGAAATACAGTGTTCATGCTCATGGAAATTATGTATTTGTTCAGAATGAAGAAAATAAACAACTATAAATTCATAATATAATTATTTGAATATGTCTTGGTGAGATTTTGACTTGTTAATTTTTCAGGACAAAATGCTTTCAGTATCAAATTTCTTATTTATTTACGTTTCAGAAAGTTTTTATCATTATACCCTTGATTACTAATATTTTATTTGGTCATTTATTCAATAAACAATAAATTTTATTTAACATCTACTCTGCGCCAAGCGCTCTTTACACCCTGGGAATACAAGGATACTGCACTAAACATGAAAGACTGAGTTCTCACTTCTGAAACATGTGTTTTAAAAGAGAGAGACAATAATTATAATAAATAATCAAGAAAAATATAGTCACAAATGCTCTGCAGGTAATTGAGCTAAGACAATGTAATAAATAATCGCTGAGTGGACTCGTCGCTGGGTTAGGTGATCAGAGAAAGCATCCATGAAGAAGTAACCCCTAAGCTGAGGTCTGAACAGTGAAGAGCCAGATGTGAGACGTATGTTAGAAGAACTTTCAGACAGAGGAAATAGCCCGTTTCAGTATCTGAAGGCAGAATGACTTTGGAGTGTTTGAAGAGCAAGACACTCCAGTCCCAGCTGGCTGACTCATGTTGAGAACCATGCACAAAAGGAGTGATATGCCAGAAGTAAGAAAGGTAGGGGGATCACATAAAGCTTTGTAAGCCAGGGTAGGTTAGGACTTTCTTTCCTTCCTTCCTTCCTTCCTTCCTTCCTTCCTTCCTTCCTTCCTTCCTTCCTTCCTTCCTTCCTTCCTTTTCTTCCTTTCCTTTTTTTAGGTGTGTAATGGGAAGCCATTGGAAGTTTTTAAGCAGGCATGTAACGTAGTGTTTTAAAGGTGATTTCTCAAAGCTCACTGTGACTGCTGTATTGCAGATGGGCGATGATGCAGCAGCAAGAGGGGAAGTGGGAAGACTGGGTAGGAGGTGTGGCAAGATCCGCATGAAAGGCCAAGACATAGTGGGCTAGGGAGGTGGTAGAGGAGATGGAGAGAAAGAAACGTACAGGCTGTTTCAGAGGTAGAGTTGGCAGGACTTGCTGCTGGCATGATGTCAGGGACAAGGCATAGAGAAGCAGCAAAGCTGAGTCCTAGCTTTTGAATTGAG